TAACAAACATTTTTTCCATGATATCCGAGTGGGTCAGGCAAAATAATCTAGAGGGACTTGTGGTTCAGATTGGCAAAGTTGAGAGATCCGGGTCGATTATTTAAAGAAGAAGAAGGTTGGCTCACCGGAACAGGTTTATTGGGATGCTGACGTTTCGAAGAGCTTGGTCGGCTCTCCATTGTGGTTGCTTACGCATATACTCCTACTGGCTACTTTTACGTGCGTTTCTTCGACTGTGTCGGTATTGATTGCGAGAATTAGGCCATATGGTACTATCCAGTGTCCAGTTAGGGAACCCCAATGTAGAGATGACAGGTCGCATCATGCGAATTTTGGCTGCTACTCATGGTCCTTAACTGGTACCCAACTCTCATCTGTGGCTCCCTAGAGTTCGGTTCCCCTTAGCAGCTACACCCTGGTAACAGCCTTGACTGGCGGGCCAAACCGTGCTGACCATTAGCACGGACGCAACGGTGGTCATGCATCAACCGCAGCGCAATGCCGCCTACAATGCTACTTCCACTCACGTCAACGACATCCAACTTGAAACCGTGGGTAACTTCGCCTATTTAGGCAGCATACTCTCAGGCTGCTTCAAAGTCGACGAAGAATTGACCACTGGATCTTAAAAGCCAGCCAAGCCTGACCGGTAGCAGGGCGCAATATGGAGCCTTCACAGTCTGCACTTCACCGACAGACTCTGGATGTACAAACCCGTCATCTTGACGAGGCTATTGTATGGATCGAAGACTTAGACGGTCCAAAAGGAACAAGCGCAGAAACTCAATCATTTCCGCCTCCGCTGTATTCGTAGAATCTTTAAGCGTAGGTGGCACGATATAATCACTGACGCGGAAATTCTGAACGGAACCGGAATCCTCATAATCTATGCCACGGAACTGCAGTTGTGATGGAGCGACCACCTCGTGAGGATGGACGATGAACGACTACCCAAAACGATCTTCTACAGAGATGTCACTACGGCGGCTCTCCGTCAAGGAGATCAAAAAAGCCACTACAGAGACACTAAAGAACGCTTTGAAGTGCCTACAAACCAGCCCGAAGTCCTAGCATGACCTCGTACAGAACTAATCGGTCTTGAGAAGAGCAGTGAAGACTGGGGCAGCAATATATGAGGCCGAGCGTACCCCCGCTGCCAAGGCCAAAAGAGCGGCTCACAAGTCTCAAGCGCACCCGGCCCACAACGCCAGCAGTCAATTTCTTCCAGAATGCCCAGACCGCCAGCGAACATACCTCGTGAGGATTGGTTTTGTCGGACATCTCAGAACCCAGTGCAACAGCAACCCAACAACTCTAACTGCTGCCTCCACAACCACGACCACCCGTCATCCCTGAACCCACGGCGTCCACGAAGGCGACCACCCCTACCGCCGAGGACCACACTGCCAATGCTCCGCCGCCGTCAGTCACCGACACCTCCATTTTCCCTGCCACAACTTCCACGACGATGGCGACCACGAATAACTCTCCAACTCCCGCCACCGGTGATAAGACTCCTGATGCCTCGTCAAACACTACCCTCACAATCACCACACCCACCATCGACGATGTGGACTCGGTTCCAACCTGTCCTCACTGCAGTTGCACATTCACCTTACACATCAGCCTGGTCGGTCAGTTGCCAATCCATCCCACTGCGACCGGCGTCTTAGTGCCATTAGGCCCCACGTACACTCGTTTATCTGCCTTTAATTTCCTCATCTGCATTCACGAGGGCAGATTTCACCGCAATATCAGCACACCAAGCATGCTGTAACGAGCCCGAATGTCGGTACGAGAGAGGGCCCAGGAAAGTAAGGCTCCAGTAACTTCAATGTACTTAAACGCCTATGCACAATAAGAGGCTAAAGAGAGGAAACCTAATTACAAAAATAAACTGGGGCAAGGTGAGATTGTTCGGCGGGATTGGCGGAGGCACGGGGATCCGACGAAGACAGCGACAGAGGTCCCGCGTTCGAAGGTTGGCGGCCTGCCAGGGAGTTGCTGGAGGTTAATCCTCGCCCGTATTTATAGCTTCTCCAGAGCGGAAGTCGTCAAGGTTGAGCCCGCCATTGCTGATTGGTTGAGGGTAGGTCGAGGGTGGAAAGTTAAACAAACTTAGGCCAGGGCTTAGTTTTAGGCTTAATTTAGGAGTTATAATCATTTATTATAAGCATACTTTTTGTGAGAGGCCAAACTGCGACTAATTACCTGGCGTATAAATATGGAAAAGTTCGGCG